TGGAGGGGGTTGGGATGTGAATTTGCCTGGGGGATTATATTCCAGCCCAAACAACGGCTGCCAATGCCCGTGGCCGTGCAGCCCTGAGAAAGTGAGTTGGGCAGGCTGGAGTGTGGCCATCCTGGCTCTACCGAGCCCACACTGGTCTATGGGCGAGGTGGGGAAGGGGTATCGGATCCCTTGGGGTGCCAGCTTTGGGTACTGGGGCAACTGGGCTGGAGGATGCTGCCCCGGGACCTGCTGCATGAAGCAGGTAAGGGGGCTGCAGGGGTGTCCCCGGCCTCGGCGGTGAGGTTGGGGTGGCCACCACACCTCACCTGAGGCCAGGTCTCTGAGCACCCCTGGAGCTGGGGGCAGACCTCCCTTCAGCCTGGCACCAGGGCCAGCACCTTCCCACCTCCCATTTTAAGGCTGCCAGTGGATAAACCCCATGGCAGCACACACCAAGGGTTTGCTCCCCTCCCCATGTCAGAGCCCACCTACCTGCTCCAGGCATCAAGCTTTTAAGGTGAGCAAGGGCAGTCAAGTCCTTGAGCCGTCTCAGATGAGCTCATGTGGGGAAAAGCTGGAGCTGGGAAAAGCCGAACCTGGCCTGGCTCTTCTCCCACAGCAGGGGGCGACATCAGCAGACACCCACAGGCAGCTGAACTTTGCAAGCCTGGGTGCTGCATGAGCAGGCGGCTCTTCTGCACCCATCAGCTGGCATCATACTTGGTTTTGTTATTTAGCTCCAAATCATTAGAAGATCGCTGTTCATGCAAAGACTAGGTAAAGGTACTCTTTGATTACGATGACATACAAAGAGGACAGCATCTTCTTAATGAACAAAACCAACCCACTCCTGTTTATTAACAGTAACAGTGAAGAGACAAGAAATAGCAAATTAAGTAGCAGAATCAAAATGGTATGATTTTTATATGCGGAGAGGCAGTGGGGATGCTCAAAGCAGAGCCAGGGTGCTGGTTTCCAGCATCCCAGCACAGCAGGAAGCCCTCGGTGGATCCGAGCACAGGGAGGCCGTGCCTGTGTGTGCCACAGCCCCCGCTGTGGGATGGGCGTTCATGGGTCTCCCCAGCACCCAGCCACCACAGCAGTGGAACACTGGTACAAAAAGGGATGGAAAGCAGTTCCTCTTCTGCTGAACTGGTTCAATGACTGGAAAAACATCAGGTTCTGTGTCAATAGCCAAACCGTCTGGAAGCATTCAAAGTCCTTTTTGTGCAGAGAAGGTGGCGACACGGGAGGGATGTGGGAAAGCGGCTCCTGACCCAGCCTGTCCGTGGGGGAGCGAGGGCTGAGTGAGGGACAGAGCAGGTACAGCTGCAAGCCTTGGGCAGCACCCAGGAAAGGGGCTGCAGCCTAACTCACATCTTTAGTGGCTGTAGAGGTTTCCCAGCCTGATCCTTTCACCCCCCAGGTACCCAGCTTCATTCCAGCCACCACTCCAAAACTGCATCACACCAGACCAGGTTTACAGCCCATCTCTCTCCACAAAGGTTCAAATTGGGAGCAGAAAGACCTCATCTAGGCTGACCTGGCCTCTGGGAACACTTCTCCCAGGATAAAGAAGGGGCTGGGAAATCTGTAAGTCGCCCTTTAGCAAAACAACGCAGCCACAAATCAGGCTTGCAGGGTCACCATGTGAAGAGGTAGAAGTTTATTGGAATATAAACATTCAGATAATGTGTAAGATAGAAAAAACCCAACAACAACATATACAGACACTTGTTGGAAGGAGACGTTGAGGTATTTATCCACCGCCTAGGCTATCACATTTCTTTTTTTTTATTTATTTATTTTTTTTTTTTTTTTAAATAGGTAAGAAAACTAGTAGCAAGGCTGCTGCAGCTGTTTGGTGAAAACATCTTCTGATCTGAATCCATTTGGAGCACACACACACACACGCAGGCAGCGACCAAAAGGACTTGGTGTGACACATTCACATTCACTTTGGGAGCCGAGCAGGTGCGCAGCCTCCCCCTCACCTCTTCCCTCTTTTCCCAGCTCACAATCTTTGTGCCTTCCCAGCATAAACTGGGATCTGCTGGAAGAGGACAAGCAGGTTTGTTTTTTTTCTTTTTTTTCTTTTTTTTTTTTTCCCACCCCAGCTGGGCATCAAACCCAGCTGGCAAATTTCCCCCTGAAACAGGAGCATCAAGGCTGCACAGAAGCAAGCTGGGGGCTCTTTTTTTTCTTTTTTCTTTTTTTTTTTTGGCTGCTCACTGCAAAACCTTCGCTGGTCTGGAGTTGAAAGAATTAGCCACACTGCAAAGCGGAGCACTTCACGCAAGAAACAGTCCTACCCGCAGTATCAAAACCCCTGAGTACTATACAATCGAACACGGTCGAGTGAAATGAAGCGGAGCCGGGGAGAGGGGGGGGATCTGCCACCCTTGCCCTTGCTCAGCCTTCCCCGGCTCCCGGCTCCTCCGCCCCGTCTCTGCTGCTGGTTTCCATAACCCTGTCGCCAAAGCCTGGCAGCTCAGTAGGAGATCTGGAGTTCAGCGAAACACGCATTAAGCCAACTGCCAGTATCAAAGCCAGGCTTAGGGGAAGGGTTACTCTTCACAGTCTGAATGGCTGGTCCTTGCAATGTGTACTGAGCAAGGACCAGTTTATTGTTGCAGCTTATTTTTACTGAGGTATCTGTTACACATCCCAACTTGATTCTTTCCCTGAATTGGATACAAAACAATCTGTTAGTCCCTGTCTATTTCCAGTCTAGTTGTGTAAAGCTTATAAACATTAATACTCTAGTAGTGTCAAAGCTGTTTAGCAGTTCAGTGATTCGAGTGCCTTTCTGTGCAAGAAAACACAATGTTAGCATGTGATACATAAGCAAAACCACCCATTACTAACCTCTGCTCCCCAGGACCAGAGAAGAAAGCATAAGGAAAAGCAAAAAGTGCCCCAGTCCCACTTGTAGGAAACAGCCCCCAACCCCACCCCCAAATGGAAAAAAACCCCAAACAACCAAAAGAAAACAAAAAAGGGAAAAAAAAACCCAATCTGAACGAGCCCCAGAGTCTGGAAAATCCTCTTCAAGCCTGCGAGGATGAAATGCTGTGGAGGCCTGCGGGATCTGCCAAGCAAACGCCCTGCAGCCAAAGAGCAGCTCCGCTTCCCCGGCCCGGTGGGCGAGTGGTCACTGCTCCCGCTGGCAGCAGCTGGAGATGGGACCCCTGGGAGCAGCACCCGTCGTAAGACATGTGCATTCTCACCCACCTTCCTCCTCCTCTGCCCACCAAATCCTCACACTGCCGAGCAGCAGGATAACTCAAATCATCGTGCATAAACTAACCTATAGAGCATAGAGCCTCTTGCAACCAGGAGGTCCTGCCTGTGGCTTACATAAACCTCAGCTCCCAAGGACAGAGCAGTGGCCCAGCCAAGTAGTGCTGGGGGATTAAAAAAGGAGAACCTGACATTTGAGAGTTTAAAGGAAGGATTATTCATTTTGTTTTCTATGTATATTTTTAAGTCCAATCCTCCGGCTGCTGACAGGGCTTTTCCTGTAGTAGTATCTGGCCCGGTGACTTTTAAAGCCATGCTCTTTTCAGTAGTATAAAATAAGCAATTAACTATTCCAGCCATAACCAAGCCACTCTTCTAGGCTAAGCCTGGGCTCAGCAGTGCAGGCAGGCAGGCACAGCCTCTACCAAGCACAGCACCTCGAGCCTCCCATCCTGCAGAGAGCTAAACACTCCCACCAGCTCTGCTCACCTGGGGCAGCACACAAACGGTGACTCCTCTTACTGCCATGACACATGGCAACTCACCCAGCACACTCCAGGAAACAGATTTTTTGCAGGCCGAACCTCTGGAGTTACAACATGGTTTTCACTTAGATTGTAATATACCTACTAGCTCAGGTGGTTACTACACAGGCACCTACATACAGGTGAAAAACTAGAGCAGCTTCTTATTTTGGTGCCTCTCTCAAAGGCTGCTCAGCATGGCCTCATCTGATCACAGACACAATTAGCTGGGTCTGGGATAGCAAAGTCCCAGCACAGCTGAAGAGGGGGTTGGGTGCAGCACCATGAGACCAAGCTGTGCTTCCAGGGGCCAGAAACCACCTTCCTGCGAGAGGCTCGGCCAGTCAGTAGCATAAGCGGTGCCATCACTGCCCCGCTGCACTGAGCAGCCTGGCTAAAGTAAGAACAGATCCTGGAGCTCAGAAAAATAATAGGGACTTCAGAGACACCCTTGTGTCCAACACAAAGGACAGATCTTTTAAGTAAGCAGTCACTCTTGCTCTCTGTTCCTACCTCTACCTGTGTCATGCACATGTCCTGAGACAATGCTGTTCAGCTTGTCTTCTGCTGGCCTAAAGGATGGGGAAGCCACTGCTCCTTTGCTCAGCCTTTTTTTTTTCCTGTCTTTGGTGATACAATTAAAAATAAAAAACAAACAACACAATGTCAGCAAAACCACATATAAAAAAACAAGCAATAAGATATGCCAATACTTCCTGAAGAGGTTAAAAAAAACAACCCAAACAAACAAAAAACCCAACAACAAGTACATATCTGAGGTATTTCAACTGCTCAAAAAAACCTGACTTGGGCCTGGAGGATGGGAAGGACGTCACCAGGGCAGGATGGATGGTGCTTGGACCTGATCTCCAAGCTGGGGAAAGCATATGTGGGAAAGGCCAGAAGAGAGGGGACAGGATGAGGCCACCTGAGCAGGAGCTGAGTCCATGGGGTCACTAAGTCAGCTTGGCTGGCTCCAGACACAGGAGAGCCAGGGCCAGCCTTCACTTGCTTTCAGCTGGAGGCTTGAGGGGAAAGGGCAAGGAAAGGCTTGTTTTCCTTTTCTCTGCTTCCACGTAGAACAGAAGGTCTTACTCAACTGAGATCCACTTTCTTCTCACTCACGTACAATCTGAAGGGGACTGGGCTTCTGCAGGCTGGTTTCAGAGACCAGCGAAAAGACGCACGTGTAACATTAACCGCAATACCTGCACACCCCCATGGCCCCACTTAACGGAGTTAAGATTTCAAATCTCATCTTCTATTTTCTCAGCACACGGATGCGGAGAGCTTCCAGCAGCTACTGAATGACACCTTACGAGAAGGAAGTTGCTCCAGGAAGCTGAGCTCAACCTAAATGAGAGCCCTTTCGTGTCAAGGGGGCAGAGGAGCAAAGAAACACCAAGCCACAGTAAATTCAGGCTGCCAGGGTAAATGTCAGTGGGATGAGTTCCTCAAGGACAAGGTTGAGGGGATTTAAAACTTGGCTGAAAGCCTGAAGGCGGCAACAGTAGGGGAGAGGCCAGGACCAGCCAGGAGAACGAAGCAGCTGATTGAGAGGTTTTTAATGTGTCTATGGGTCAAACACAGCAGTGAGAAAGTCCTTCCCCCCGCTCACCAAGACCTCAGAAAGGGGAAAGGATGCTCACGAGCCAAGAGCATGTGTTCTAGGGGAGGACATACAAACACCGGACCACAACAGAGCCTGAAGGGAAGCGAGGAAGCTCGCCTGCTCTGCAGCCACATGGCCTTCTGCAGCACAAGCCACGGGAGGACAGGGGCAAGCCACCCCGCTGGCTCTTAGGATTGTCAATACACTGAGCTGTTTTGTGGGAAGAGTCCTTGTGGCTACTGGTTCGAGGAGAACCAAGTTTCCCTCCCCCGGCTCCAGCTCTTTCCACCTGCCTTGGTGACGTCTCAGCCATCTCTCCACCCGCAGCTCCTAGAGATGATCCCTGATTGAAAAACGCCAGGCATGCCCCCCACCTCCATATCCCACCCCCCAACAGGAACACAGCAAACCCTGGGAGGAGGAGGAAGAAAACAAAAAGCAAAAGGGAGGAAGAAAGGGGAGAACAAAGAAAAAGGCTGGACAAACAGACGACGAAGAAAAACTCGCTGGCATGGAAAGGTTTCAGCATCATCATCATCTTGCCGTTGGCCAACCACAAAAGCAGGTTCCTTGAGATGAGGTAATCTGTGCGACTCCTTCCTGGCTCGCTCCCTGCCAAGAGCAGAGAGGAAGAGCTGCCGGAGGCCAGTGTGAGAGACAGCAGGCTCGACCGACCATCAGAGAGACCAGCTGGTGGAGGGCTCTGCGCTGGGGGTTCCCCGGGATGAGGTAGGGCTGGGAGAGCAGTGGGAGCTGCTGCTGCTGCTGCAGGAACTCTGGGTGCTGGAGCCTGCAATGAGATGGACAACTGGCTTCTGGGCGAAGAGCACTCCTGCAAGGCAGAGAGAGGGAACGAAAAGGGTTACTGGGACCACAGGGTGGCAAGGCTGAGAAGGAGAGGGGTACAGAGCAAATGGCAGGCTGTCCAACCCTAGAGATGTCATCCTAACAGAAAGGGGCTCAGTGCAAGACTTGGAGGTAGATCAGAGGGTCAGTGGCGATGAGGGTGTAGGAAGGGATCCCTGGGACTTGTTCTGTCAGGGATGTTGTGCTTACAGAAGATAAAGACCCCAACCTTGGGAGGAGAGAAGTAACTGCCACCACACTGCAGTGCCAAGGCCAGGGCCTCCCACTTGGGCTCTGCCCAAGGGTTCATGTGTGTGTGACCTGCAGAAGTGAAATGGCTTGAGCAGAGTACAGGGGACAATTGGTGCTTCCCAGAGGATTGTGAGGAAAAGCCAAGTAAAGCCACTCCTCAGTAGGAGAAGAGGGATAACACTTCCTACTGACACTTCTATAGAAATCTCTTCCCTTAGATTTTAAAAATACAGCCACCACCACCAAAAGGAAAGGGCATTCATCTTGACTATCCAAAAAAAAAAAAAAAAAAGAACAGAAATCTAAGCCACAATTCTAAGCCTAAGCCAGACAGGTTGCACATGTTGTGCTTTGGCAAAGACTATCCCCCAGAAGCACACCACCCTCTTCACGTCCTGCTCTGCACCACCAGCCTGGCTCTGTACCCATCCCCAGGAGCAGTTCTTTCTCACCAGCGTAAATTGTGCCGTTAATCTCCACCGACATGTTAATACTCCCAATGCCGTTAGGTGACAAATTCAGTGCTGCTGCTGCCGCCGAGTCTGGTTTATCTTCTTTCAAGAAAGAAGAGATGCAGAGTTAGAGAGGAACTATCCTGTTCCTTGCACTATCCAGAGGTGATCAAAGGTGTACACAGCCTTCCTCCTGCCTCCTCTGGGGAGGAAATCCCCACAGTGTCCCCTTCCAGTCCTACTAAAAATCTACAAAGGTGTTCAAGTGCTTCAGTGTAAACTGAGGGTAGGCTGGGAACCCACCGGCATTTGCAAATCCCTCTGACACACACTGGAGGGCTAAATTAACATCCTCTCCGAAGAAAAGCTGCCAGCATGCGCGATAAGACCATATTTGAATGGGCTGGATTGTGGTTGTGCCTGCAGCAGCCTGGGAGCGCATGCACAGTCCCCTACCCCTTCGCTGAGGGTGGCAGGTTTTTGGGGAGCTGGTGTGACTCCCCGTGCAGAGGCCTGACTGCAGCAGCTCCAGTGGCCGCTGGAGGGAGGGGACTACCCACAGCACCAGGGACTCAAACACAGCAACACTATGCTCAGCGGCCCTACAGTGCCTGTGAAACCCATGGGGTTTTTCCCTGTGTCCTCAGCCTGGAGAGTCCTTTCTAAGTCGTAATGGGCAGCTCTGGAAGAATCAATGCAGAGCAGGGGTTCAATTTGCACCGATGTTTAAGGGGAGCTGAACATCAAACTGGGCACCACCCTAAGCACCCTGTAGGGGAGAACCTGGGCTGCAGGACCGCTGCTCCGCTTACGGTGTGCAGAGCCATATCGTGGCCACCAGCCCACCCCATGTTGGTTTTGGGGCACTGGGCTATTAAAACAGAGATCACGCAGCCAGTCTGCTCAGGCTCTGACATTGCATGCAAAATGTATCTTTGTAGCTCCGTTCAAGTCTGCTGGGACAGCAAGCCCGCTGTCCCTGCAAAGCACGCTAAGGACGTTGGGAACATTTTACCTAAACATTGCTATCAAGCTACCATAAGCTCATGCGGTGCTTTTCAAAAGCGCCTCTCAGAACACTTTACAAAGCACAATGTTACTCTTATTTTGCAATTGGGAAAATTAGGGCACAAAAGACAGAACTGACTGACCCACAATCAGCTCACAAAGCTGGAAACAGCATCATTGAATCCTTAGGGCTCAGTCCTCAGCCTGTTACTATTTGTAGAGACCAGAACTGTTCCTACCATTTTGATTTAGGAAGTTCAGGGCAAAGAGAAAAAAAAAAATAAAGTGAGATGAAAGGGAATGAACATTACTCGATAAAATTTGTATTCCCTTTTGCTCACTACTATTGTTTCTGTTTTGTTTTTATGTAAATGCGAACTTCAGGTGGACATATAGCTGTCAGGAACTGTGATGTTAAGTCCCAATCCCATTTAACTCTGCAGCAAGCTGATACTACTTCAAAGAGGAACCTGCTTTGACCCTTTGCCATATATATTTCTGGCAAAGCATCTCAATTAAGTGTTTACCAGCACAGCTAGTGAAGGCCTCAAGAACAGCTCTTCCCTTTCTTCTAAGCTGTGCCAGACTTGCCTGGCCTTGTGCCTACATCCAAATGTACAATTAATAGGGGGTCTGAGACCTTTAATTTTAATGGATCAAAAGGTTTGGAGGAAGCAGCTGTTGGGACTGAAATTTTCTGAGGCTTTGCTGTCCAGGGAAGTGCAGCCCCGGGACAGGTAAGGGAGCCACAGCACTTAATCAGCTTTTGAAGCCACTGTATAACAGTATTGATTCTGACAATGTGACCTTTACAGGGTGACTCCCCTTTTACAAAGCATTTCAGGAGTGCATTTCCCAGGCCATGAATGCTGCTTATACATGACCTTCTAACCCAGCCTTGCCAGGAGTTTTCTGCCTGCAGGCTGTCTGTAGAGCAGCAGCAGATGTTGGCAGAAATCACCTGACTCGATAAAAGCCCTGGGATGTGTCAGGCCCCCTGCAGATACACAGGTCTTTGTGGTCTCCTCATCACACCTGACAAAGGATTCCTAAAAGCTGGACATCTCTCTTCCTGCAGACTGCTACACATAGGGAAAAAAAGCTGGTACTTTCATAATCAATTAAAAGGGTTCCTGTCCAGGAAAGGACAGAAAAATCATTCCCTGCTGCACAGTGCTGGCATGAGGCTCCGATGAAAGCAGGGTGGGGGGGAAGCTGAGCATCTGGCACATGATGGCCTTCCCCTCCAGAAGTCATCCTACTGACTGCAGAATGGCAGAGCTGCCTCTGGCCAGGCTACACCACGCTCTTGGACCTGAAGTGTACACCAGGTATTAACCGTGAGGGGGTCAGATATGTGGCCCAAAGCAATTTCAGCCAACCCACATGCTTCCCATGAAGGAAGGGGCATACTTAGAGCATGCAACAGGGCACTGCTGCAAGGGCAACTGAGCTCCCATCAACCGAAACTGGCAATTCTCCACACTGCACATTCTGTAGAGACAAAACAGCTTGAGTCCTGAAGCAATCCCACTGTGATCAACATAGGTCATACACTCAGAGTAAGGGTCAAGTGGGTTTTATCAGTTTAGATGTGGAGCTTTCTGAACATAGCCAGCATGCTTCTGAACCCAGGCTGGATTCAGATGATGCTGGATTATGCATCAACAAGCATACCCTAGACTAGGAGCAGTGCCCTCCCTGCTACAGCCTGCAAAGACCTTTGGTGTACCTAGAGACTTACCCTTGCCATTGATTTTGATCTTCATGGGGATCTGCCGTGCCATGCTGAACAGGTTGCGCTGAAGAGCCTGCTGGACAAGCCGCTGCTCCTCCTCCGTCATCCGCGAGACCTTCTTCTCTGGAGGCTCTCCTGACTCCAGTCTCTCCCTCAGCTGCTCCAGGGTGGCTGTTCTTGCTGCCACAGTTGCCTGCTGGCTAGCCAAGGTCACTGGCACAGCAATACGATTTGGCATAGACACAGTCAAGGGCACACCATCACCTAGAAAAGGAAGGAGTCACTTAGTCCCTCCCACAGCCCTTCCAAATGCAAGCACACAAAGGTTTAGACCACAGGCAGAATATTCTGCAAACCCAAGTCCCACTGCTCTCAACTCCAAAGTAGCCTGGGTGGACAAAATAGAAAATATCTGTGTTTCAGTGCCTGCATCTCCTAAGCCCACCACCCTCTTTGCTGCAAGTAAAAGTAGCTGACCTTTTCTGACCGCAGCTGCTGGAGACACCCGAGGATTGCTGGTCCCACTGCCTGGCGCGACACCGATGATGGGGAAGCGAATCTTTGGGGGAGAAAGGAGGGAAGGAGGCCCTGTGGTGGTGGGCGAGTAGCTGAACAAAGAGGAGCTGTAGCTGGGCCGCCTGCCTTCCCGCCTGTTGCCATCGATTGCAGCCTGAAGCTCAGCAGGAGAACTGAGGGATTTCTTCTCACATTCATAGGCATATAGGTACTTCATGTACCTGGGAGAGAGGTGAGCACAGGGAAACTCAAGTAGGGTTCTCAGTAGAATATGCAATTATAGGCTACAGCAACAAGCATTGCATTCAGGAAGACTTTCTGAGTTCCTCTACAGATCTGGAGTCTCTCAGCATATTAGTTTGGTAACTACTGAGCAGTCTGGGTGTGAAGCACAGCTCTCAAAAACTCTGAATTTACTCGATGTTTACAGGGAAGCACATAGTTACATACTACTACACACACAAGGGCAGAAAAATATCATCCAGAATTCCTTCACAATGGAGGTAACATCTGAAATGGTAAGAATTAAGATCTTGGACTGTAACACTTAATGCAAGGAAGGAAGTTTGAGGAATTACCCATGTCCAAGTCATTTGTATTGGCCAGCACCAAGCCTTCATGTTTTTGCTGAATTCTGGCACATACGTTTGCAGGAGACAGCCTGTTTGTACCAAAAGCTGTAGAAATGGGAAGGAGCTTCCCTCCTTGGGATCTGGGGCTCTAACAGCTTCCAAGAAAACCGAGTCTGCATAAAAGAGCTGGGTGTGGATTCCCAGAGACCAGTCTTCCATGCTCAAGTCACTAAAGCACAGCCTTGCCCTGTTGCTCAAATTTTACAATAGGTTTTACTTTTGCCATTCTTTTTCCTCCGCTTATTCTGCTTTTTCTTCCTTTTTTTTTTTTGCTTGCCTAATCAATATGAGGTACTGTAGGTCAGGAAAGCAATCCTCACAGGAAGTAGGCACTGAATGCAAGTTTCCACAACGTAGCAGTGATAACATTAAATGATCAAGTTAATACTCAATGCCTACAAATCAGGAGGCCTCCCTCCCTCCTCGCTGTGTCAAGTGCTCTCCAGAGACAGAGCAAGTCCCTCCTTGCCCCGAGGTGTTTAAGCTCTGAAGAGGCAAGGAAGGCAGAGGATGGAGGGAGGTGCAGAGCACAGAGAACTTGGCAATGTGATATTGTGCTGGGATTGTAGAGATTCAAGGGGAACAAGTTCAGGAAGAAAAACAAGAGAAGGAATAGAAAGGAAAAACTGCAAGCCTTGGTTGAGAGGGATGAATAAAGGAATTTATCAGCTCCTCCCTGGCCACAGAGTAGAACTTAGTCTTTCCATTTTTCCATCCCAGTGGCACTCCCCAGTCCCCACTCTGCGTTCACATCCATGCTGTTAGACCTTCTGAAGGACTTACTGAGTTCGAAGGGTGAACGCAGCACTGGTGATGGAGGTGGGCAGATTAAGGCCTTTGGTGATCTCTCGCCAGATCTTCTTGTTGATGATTTCCACCAGCCCTCCTTTCTCCGTCACCAGCTTATAGAGCATGTAGAGATCCAGGATCTGCTTTGCCATGATGGGGATCCTATTGATCGGAGTTCCTGCAGGGAAACAGCAGGGAATGGAGTCAGAAAGAAAATGAGGCCAAGAAAACTGGCAGGTTGGGGCTATCGATCTTCTTTCTAATAAGAAATTCAGGCAACTCTATTTGTAGCCTGACTTGAGACCTCTCAATGGGTGAGTAAATAAGCCAGAGAAGTGTAGCTACATGGCACGTCCTTTTCATGAAAAATCCTTTCCTGTAGGCAAAAGCAATTATCAGACAAATAATAACCTGCAGCTAAGAGCAACTTCTAAAATAGAAAGAGGGGAAGTAGGGACTATTCAATCCTAGGGGTGAGAGAGCAGCACAGAGGAATCATTTTTTATGAGCTCCCAGGGCAATCTCAGATAAAAATCTGTATTGCTTGTGCTCAGGAAGGGGCTGAGCAGCCAGGCAACTTGAGCTATGTTGGGATTCAGCTCCCTCACTCCCCAGGATTTGCTACCCTGTATTGCCTGGGAACAGCAACAGAAAAGGGTACATGACACTTGAGAGCATCACCCTTCCCCTGTACATTTACCTCTGTCCTCCCTCTCAAGCATGTGTATAACGTTTTGCTACAGCTTCTGCTCTGGCAAATCATTTTCACCCTCCCACTCCTTCTCCCCAAACACGCTCCCAAATGACATGCTGATAAGGCCACACGTGTACCTTGGTAGCAACTGCAACCCAGCTGCTGGAGCAGTAATGCTGTGAGAAAGCTACAGAAATTGTGTTGATGGTGGAGGTGAACAAACAAGCGGCGTAACGGAGCACTGGCGTGCCTGATGGCTGACACCGCAAAGCCAGGCATCCTCGTGGCTGCTCTGAGCAGCACTAGGCATCCAAGCACTTGCTGGAGCCCAGAACAAGGTCCTGCTCTATCCTTGCAAGGATAGAGGGGGCAGACAGGGAAACAGCTCTATCCCTCCTGTTCAGTTTTGTCATCTGGTGGGTTAACAGAGGTAAGAAAATCTGACTTTTAACCTGATAGTGCCCTTTTAGCAGCACCTTAAAGTGATAAAGCGTGCAGGGTTTGAAAAGGTCAAACTAATGAGATTTAGGCAAGGAGAGGAAGAGGGTGAAAAAGTGCTGATGTAGCAAACCTTTTATTTTGCGTAGGAAATACTGTCCTGGATCAAAGAGCCGTCCATCTGAGGTCAGTATCCTGCCTACCACAATGGTCAGCACCAGCCTTTACAGGAAAGCCTGCGAAGCGCTCTAATGGACAATTATGGAATACCCAACCCACAGGGGAGACTTCTGCCACTGCTCATCAGCTAGCGATTCGGTTAATGCCCCGAAGCAGAGCAGTTTATGGCCCTTATAAATGGAGTTTATTCTGTTTAGTGAAAAGGACCTCAGCTCTGCAGATGTCCTCATTATACATGTAAGTGTAATTTTTTCCCCCCTCTTTTCTTTTTGAAGTCTGTTATGCATTAGCTCATGGTTCCAATTCACACAGGTTAATGAGATGTTGGCTAGAAAAAGTAAACTTTTTAAAAGGGCTGCCTTCAATTTCACCAAGTTACTAACTCTTAAACAGTACGAAAACATAAAGAGCAACCTGATCAGGCTCAGTTTGTATGCTCTGTCATTTTATATCTATCATATCCTCTTTTCCTAGCCTTGTCTAAACAACCCCTTCCCTGTTCACAACAGAAAAGTCCACAAAGCAGTAATTTCACAAACTGCATCAGATCCTCTTCCTGCATTTCAGAGACAACAGTTCCCTCAGGGAGCAGAGATAGAGACATTTCCAAACTGTTTAAATGCCCTGTGGCTCCATCCATCCCAGCCGGTCCCCCCGAAGCCAGGAGCTGGTCCCTCCCAAAAGGTCAGCCTGTGTAAATGCAATCCTCAGTTTGCTTTGGGTTTTCCTCAGCCACCATTTTGTCTCGGTGTGTTATTGCAAAGATTAAGAGCACACTAACAGCGTCATTTCAGACACACAGAGGGCTGGGAGTGATCATGTTACCAGCCTTAAGTTATCATTCATCAGCTGAGCCACGGTAACCAGAGTCACACCCAGCCCACTCCAAGTGAAAAGCAGGGAAATACTTATCTCAGAGGTTTCTAGGAAGAGCCAGGGGTGGTTTTTTCCCACACCAAAATGCCCCTTCATTAAGAGTTTAGCAGTTCTGCCCCAGCAGCAAGGAAAGCTGGGGTTGTCCTAAGTGGCACTGCATTGCCAGCAAAGCCTTTGCTCCACTGGGGCAGGATCGAGACCCTCTCCCTCCACTCCTGCAGTGATGCTGCATTGCTCAAAGCCACCCACTTTTCCCCAATCCAATTTAGGGAATAGCATTAACTTGTCCAGAAGAGACTTTCATCCAGCTCTCTTTGGACAGTGACCAGATGGAGAGCGAAAGGAAACAATCATGAATAAGGCTCCTCAGGCAAACAAGCTGCTAATACAGAAGTATAAGGAAATATCTACTTTTATATTATACTTGTGTATATACACACTTATTCTGCATTTATCCTAAGCAGTTTTACTCTTCTGATTCTCCTATCTCAGCATTTGAAAAGTTCCAAGTGTATTTATCCAAATGCTCCTATGAAAGGGACAAACATTATCTACATCAGTGGGAAATAAAGGCTTAAATGTATTTCCAGAGAGCCTGCTCATAGCTGGAGTCAAAAGAGCAATCAGATCTGACCTCCCTGCCTCATGTTACTACCCCCTTTGACACCTTCCCTTCCTGAAGTTTGCTTTTAAACAAGACCCACAGACCAAAGTGCCCTGAAATTTAATTTGTAGCTTTATAAACTAAGCTAAAAATCTATAGCTTCCCTCTCCCCCCCCAAGATTTCTTTATGCAGGCTGATAAACTTTACAGCAGGCACAAAACTACTTCCCTTCCTCCTACCATTTGACCATGGAGATGCAATTTTCCTCCCATGCTTTCTCATAGTACCAAAGTAATATTCCCCCAGAGTTAGTGAAGAATGATTTGGGGTTTGGACCTGGTAAATTAACTGTACTTTTCAGAGCAAGCCAGGGCTCTGCATGTTTCATAGGATCTGACTGCAAAGGAGCCAAGAAGCTGCTCTCATTGCCCTCTCCTCCCCCAGCCCCAATCTGAGGAAAGGCAAGGCAATAAAGTCTTTATTGGAAACCCCCAGCGCTCAAACAGGAAAGGCTGAAAAACGAGTATCATGGGACGATTGGACGCTGAAGCCGAGCGGATCCTTTCACAGGCGGCTGCAAGGCTTGTCAGGGGCCATGATGGATTACTGTCATCTGGCAGCATCAGGATTAATGATCCAGAGGTCAGAGGGGAGAATTCCAGAGGGAAAGGTCAGCAGCCGGGGGCACAGCATAAGACTTGTTGCCTTTTGATGGCAAACTCATTTTACTGTACTTTCAAGCCTCTCTATTCTGCCGGCTCTGAGAAATGCTGTACAAACTGTGCTCGCAAAGAGCCGGAAGCCTTGCCCAACTTCAGAAGAGGGCAAGGAAGATGACTGGTTCCTCACCTCACTTTCTTGGTAAACGACTTTTCTTCCTTATACTATAACTCCAGCTATGTAAATATGGGCCATTCCTGCAAGGAATCAGCCAAAGGGTGGGATGCAAGGAGTCTGTTTCCACTGGAAAAGGGATGATACACAGTTGATGAGCAAGGGAGACCCCAGGAAGACAAACTCTAGGGCAGGCAAACTCTGGAAGGAGAAAGAGGAATCATCCCATAGCCCATGGGCTCCCAGCTTTCTGAAGGGAAAGACAGCTGTAACTACAATTCAAATTTCTGGAATAAAGAGTTTCCCTGGAGGAAACCTGACTGTAGCTATAAACATCTCTGTCCTTCAAGGGAAATAAGCAGCCCCCTCTGCCAAGCTGTTTCACCCTGTTCAAAAGCCTCTTCTGTTTCAGGCAGACATAACAGAAGCCTAAAGGGGTTATATGGATAGGCTTGAATGTCCCCTATGTCCCCTGCGCTGGAGAGGCAGAAGGAGCAACTGTTTGATTTTTGTTCTTTAAGAGCTATTTAAGAAGGGACTGAGGAAGCTGTAAACCCTAGATAATCTCTGAATGACTGTTTTTACATCTCTTGGCAATGAACCAGTATCTGGGGAAGGGACATGGGCTGAGCCAGCAGCACACACAGGCTCCACTCCCCTGCAGCAACAGCCACTCACTCAGTGCTGGGGCTCAGCCTTCCCATTTCCTGAAGGGGAACTGAGCTTTGGACCAACACCTCCCTCACCTATCCAAGTATGCTGCCCAAGGTGGGTTTTTTTTCCTGTTCTTTATCCCTAGCCAGATTTCAGAGTTAGATCTAAATCTGAAGATGCAGGCTGATGTTAAACTAGAACTGTCCCTGAGACTGTTCTTAACCAAATTATAGAAAAGAAGTCCCCTGTCGTTTTGCAGGGGTTTGCTCAGTTTTGTGAGTCCTCCATGATGGAGATCCCCTGCCAAGGGCCACTCTCCTCTCCCTGTGCTGAGCCATGCCTACTGCAGGGAGTTCCCCACCAGCAAGCAGCCTAAGCCACAACTTGTCCTGCATGCAAGAGACAAAGAGCAGTTAATTATACCCAGCCTGGAGCACTACTTTTTCAATCACCTCCCATTTTTTCCTATCCAATTTACTTTCAGAAGTGTCCATTTTTTAGTAAGGAACAAAGAAGGTGAGAATCCCAAATATTTATTTGGCAGAACAACATTCCAACTACAATAAAGCACACTCTGGAGTGAAAAACAGGCATAAGGGGGGGCATTTTTAAGCCATGACCTGTACAGGTAAGGAAAGAGCTGCTCCTTCCACTTTTCACTGTATGTTCAGAAGAGAAATAATATCAGACAGCCAAAACAACAGGTTTTCCTCAGAAGACTGGGGAAGTCCTCAGTGATCTAAAAAAATTTTGAACCAAATCTTGAAGAGATCTTCAGGTTTCTTTGAAGGGAGACAGAGTAATTACTTGGTATGAATGATCTCCCCATCTCCCAGGCTAAACAGGGGTAAAATTCAGTTAAACAGCAAATCAGCAGTGTAGCATACAAGCAAAACA